AATAAGCAGTGGCAGCTTCTCACTTTTGTTCCTCTCTGGGGGGTCCTGACAACCCTGGTAGACCATGTCACTTAAGCTGCTCCGGGAAAATATGGTCTAAGAAATCTGCCTTCATTTCTCTTTCATATCCTGGATAGAAACTGACACCCTCTATGTGGTTGAAGTCACACAATGAAATCCCATCTTTAAAGCTAGAAGGACTACACCCTATTTAAACAAACAAGCAAACAAACAAACAAACAAAAAAACAACAACAATAGCAAAGCATCAAAGGAGTTGTCCGAATGGTATACTTCCTCAGCCTTTGATTTCCTGATGCATATCTTTGGTTATTGCTTTTTTCTTATCAACTATGAAATAGCAATATATTTTAGTTTTTCAAGTTCCCATTCAGAGGATTCTGAACATGTAAACCCAAACCACCAAGTCTACATGCACTTACACTTTCAGCTTCAGTAGTTTCATCTATCTCAGAGGTTTCATTTGCTACTTCCATGATCCTATACATAAGGCTGACACCTGCTTCTCAAAAAAGCCCCAAACAAATACCTCTAGCTTGCCTGAAAGGACAATTGCCATGTTTTAAGATAAGCCACAATTTTCTTCTTTTAAATTATTAATAATTTAAATATTAATCAAGTGAATATATTTTTCCTCTAGACATTATCCAAATCCTAGAGTTTACAAATTATACCTTTAAAAATTAAACTCTAAAAGTACGAAGCCTGGATAAACCTCATCTATTAGGGATGATTTAAGAGCAATTTTACTCCTCAAAGCTGCAGCACAAGCAGCCCACCTGACTCAGGAGGTGCTGAGCAGGGCTGGGATCCTGCCGTTCTGCCGAGCTCCAGGCTGACGCTCGTGCGGCGGTGCCTGGGCCACACTGAGGAGCACGTTTCCCAGCAGCAGCAGCTTGATGTTTCTGCCAGGCTGAGCCTGCCTTTCCTGGGCAGCTGACGGAATGTGGAGTGAGCAGATATCCCAGCTGGTTTTTGTGGTTCTCATGCTGTGACTAGCCCTCCCACACCTACCCCAAATAACACTCAGGACTGTTTATTAGTGTCACCTGTAAGCTATAAGCTCAATGGCTCCTGGACTAAGAGGAAGGTCCAGGAATACCAGTCTCAAACCTGAAGCCTTACTTGCCACAGAAAGCTTCAATGCTTAGGAGCATGGGAAGAGCGACTGGCAGCAGGGCCCTCGCCCCATGGTTAGGGAAAGCTGGAACAAGGCCAGAGCATTCTGAGGAGGAGGGAAGCAGCCCTGCGAGTTCTTTCCCACACAGCCAAAGGAGCGGCAGCTGTAGGTTACCAAAATGCCCCCTGCCAGGCAACGGGAAAGGTACTTCTGAGTAACAACTTCAATCCTCCGGTCACTTTGGAAGGCAGATGTTGACTGATATACACAAAGGAGGACAGATCGGACAAGGGAATCAGGTTTATCCATCCACATGCACAACATCTTAGTGGTTTGTGATGGGTCTCTGCAGCTATGGCTGCACATCAAGGAGGTCCGTGACAACATCATCCCACACAAGGGACTGGGGAACAGGAAGGTGGGCCTAAAACTCTGAGTTTAAATTAAATTTGTCTTCCTTGGGAAATATGATTTATTGAGACCTCCTGAGGGCTAACAGTGTGTTTAGCTTTGCAAGAAGCATAAAGGAAAAACCTGTCTGCACCATCAATCTAAAATGGCAAATGGACCAGTTGCAACTAGAAAAAAATTCACTCCCACAAAACAAATCATCCATTAAAGAAGCCCCCTCAGCCGCTTCCTCAGCCCCGAGTTGGAAGGGAAATCAGACACAGTAAGTCGTAATGCAATTCCATGATTCATGAGGCTGAGGAAAAACAGGATGCCTGGCTGTCCATGTGCCCTCCCCAACCCCATACCTTGTCCATTTTTTTTCCTAGGGGAGAGGGATTAAAAAGCAGCAACTGCCCCTCACCATAATGTCTCTACTGCCACCAACTACAAGCAACTCACAGTACAGAAGGTCAGGTTCAGTCTGAACAGCACCTCAATTTGACATTAATGTTAAGGCCATCGGAGAGGGTGCACATCCTAGACTCTATTCAGGGACAAAGAAAAAGGTACAGATTCCTCGATGCTTGACTCCTTCCCTCCTCTCCTTCTTTCCTTCATTCCTTCTCTCTGTTTAGAGGAGTTTCTAAGACAGTCACAACTTAGCATCCTGGAGCTTCTGAAAATGTCCTTCCACAAGGAGAAACAGATGCCCAGAGAAGGTAACTGACTTGTGTGAGAGCACACTGCTCATTCATGATGAAGCCAGGACTGGGACCCTTACATCTATACCCCTGCTCTTGCACTTTGTCTTGGTGATGATCTCCCTTCTTTTCCCACCAGGGACAGGCAGCGTGAGGAAGCAGCCCTTGCATTCTGAAGCAAAAGATGACTAAACGGAGTGACTGGTGTTTTGGATGGAGCTTTTCTGATAATTTTGGTAAGGATGAAAGCCAACTGTGGGGACAGACTCTATCCCTAGCTTTCCCCAAGGAAGCGTTTATGTCCCTGTGAACTCAGGAACATATGGGGAAAGGAATATCATGGGAATGTGGAGTAAGAACCACTTGCAGACAGAAAAATTCATTTCTTAACAGTGAATCGCCAGAACCAATGCCCACATCCCAGTCAGGAATCAGGAATTACCCAGAAACAAGCGAATGGGTGGAGAGAGGCTGACTGGGGACAGTGGGATGCAATGAGGTGCAGGAGCTGCTCCCAGGACTGACAAGTGGGAACTGGTCACACAGGGCACAGGCACCAAGCCAGAGGAAAAGAAACCCCTATTTAGGGAGAGTGACCCTGGAACAGAAACATTTAGGATGGATACTAAACATATTAGTTTTCTCCCTATTAGTCATCTGAGTGTGATATATAGTTTTTGGAGAAATGCTACGGGTACTTATTGATTTTTAGAGAGAGGAATGGAGAGAGAGAGAAACATCAACATGAGAGAAACATCAATCGGTTGCCTCCAGGGATCAAACTCACAACCTAGGTATGTGCCCTGATGGGAAATCAAAGCTTTTGGTGTACGAGATGATACTCCAACCAACTGAGCTACACTGGCCAGGGTGAGAAATGCTGTTTTAAATCTACTTGGAAGAAATTTTTTATTATTGCAGCTCGAATTTATGTTTTAAAGGATAGATTTAAAACTGTAGACTTAAAAAAAATTTGTTTTCTTTTCGGAAAGAGTCCACTCTATTATCTTTCACTGACTGCTTAAGGGGCCTTCTCCTGAGTATGGGTCTGGCCAGGATTTATGTTCCTAGCTGGGAGGAAATGCAGGCCAGACCCCATACTGGGCAAAAACAGCGAGGGACCACCTGTTTGCACTTACCCCTTCTTCCTGCCCAGAACAAGGATGTGATGGCTATACTAGAGACAGCTGTTTTGTGACTCTGAGGCAATCCTGAGGATGGAAGCCAAAAGTTAAGATGGTGTAGAATAATGACTGAAGGAGCTTCTATACCACACCGGCACTGCATCCTCTGGAATTATTTTATTTTTAATGTTAGAGGAAAAGAAACCCCTATTTATTCAAGTCTTCATTTTCCTCTATTATCTGTAGCCAGATACATGTCCTAACTAAAATATAAAACACATAAATGTACATCCTCAATTGTAAAGGAGCCCTGACATTGAGAGAGTGAAGTCATGGAATATTTAAAGTGAAAAGAAAGAGTAATAAAAGGCTATTGATCCCAGTTGCACTAAGAGAAATTTCAGCTCAGAGATTGCAATAAAAATAACGGAGAGGAAAACATCCCAAAACAAATTACCTGTTTCCCTAACAGGAGAGGTGCTTTGTTGTGACCCAGAGGACTGATTTGAGAGCTCTGAGTTGAGAAAAGGCTTTGGGAAAGTGTCTTATACAAACCATTCTTTAAAAAAATATAGCCTCTGAGAGTTCAAGAGAGCATTCTCTGATGTTAGGAATGCAAAAGCTTCAGGGAGTAAATGCAAATCACGAAAGCTATTTCTCATTATTACTAATTCTCATTATTCTCATTATTACTAATGGCTCTTAATAACTAAGGGGCAATTCTGAGTCTCCAGTTGGCTGAAACAACCAGAAATTGCTCCTTGTATCCATGCTAATAACTAATATAACTTGACAATAAATATAATTTCAGATATACAGCTTTCTGCACAGTCTCTTATTGCAAAGGAAAGCTAAGCCAGAACATCTGTAAAAAGAATAATCCAATTAAGTGTGTTTCCAATTGGGAACTATTTAGAATTGAGAGTTTAACCAGATAGTGAGATAATAAATACTGAACTGTTTTATCCTGATTAAAAAGATCAGGGTTTTCCCCTATGACATCTTTTTTTGTTATTTTAAAGTAAGTGTTTAATCAGTCTGAATGACTGTGGTCTGTTATACAGTGATCTTAATCACTGTAAATTGTTCAAGGCCTAATTTCCCATGAATAGATTCTCACTTGCGATTTAATATTTAATACAGAGGCAACTTCTTCTATATGCAGAATGTGGTTATAAACAAAGTCCCAATAATTTTTTAACCATATATAATAATAATTATAATGCCTGAGGAAATTTGCCCAACAGATGAGTTGGGGCCACCCCCAGGACCCAATAAATGTGCTCTGAGCCATTAACCTTTAGCAGGTATTTGATAAATGTTTGTTGAGTGAATGGGTTGCCTCAGATTCTTCAGAGAAGATATTTTAGAAGCATTTGTGCCAATAAAGCCTGAGCTAGTTCCTCCAGGCTGAATTCCCATAGGGAAAGTAGTGGCATATCTAGTCCTGCAACCAAGGAAAAAACAAATTCTTCCGAGAAAGTCTCCATTAGAGTTAGAGGATGTATTATTGTTAAGAATACCTTTGGTAAGTCCTACTATTAAAACAAGGGTCACACAGATGACCTTCTTTCCATGCATAGATGGGACTGACGCCAAGGGACTGTGAAACAATCCTGAAGGGCATTTAAGCCATACTTACTGCTGGTGGAGGATATGTGGCTGTAGTCAGACCTGAAACACAAAACCTTGGTATTAGTAGGATGAAAAATTTTTAGTTTATCCAAATAATTTCTCCAAGCTACAATTTTAAAGTCAGTGGCAAGTAGCATCTAGCTAATAGAGAAATGCCACAAATTAAAAACAATAGTGTTAGCATTGCTTGTGCAAAAATAAATTTGTCTAAATTTGAAAGCAAAACTTTAAAGGCACTTTAGAAATCAGGGGTCCTTTAGGTTTTGGTCAAGATGGTGGCATGGGGAGATGCTGCACTCACTTTCTCTCAGGACCACATCAAAATTATAACCAAATTATAGAACAATCAGTCTGTATAATCATCTGAAGAATAGCTGTACAGAAATCCTATAACTAAGGATTCTATGTGGCAGAAGCCACACAGAGACGGGTAGGAAGGGTAGAGCCCAAAACAGGCTGGCCCTGCACCATCTGTGGTGGCTAAGAATCTGAAGGGATATTTCAGCTGCAGAGGTCCCCCTTAGGAGCAAGGGGCTTCAGCCCCACACCAGGTCCCTATCCGGGAACACCAGTGCCAGAGAGTAGCTCACACAACATCTGGCTGTGAAAATCAGCAGGGATTCCACTCTTTGAGGTAGTTGGAAGGCTGTCTTCTTAAAGGGCCAAGGCACAAACTCTCACTCAACAGGGCACTAAACTTGGGCTTCATGAAGGGGCAGTATACTGGGGAGTGCCACAGATATATGGGGAGAAAGTTAGTTGGATGACTTCAGGGCAAGGGCTGGAGGAATGACCGCCACTCTTCCTGCTTTGAGCCCGCCCTGCACACAGCCTAAGCTGAGTCTACATTAGCCAGGTGAACACCACTAGCTCTTGCCTGACTTCCTGAGACACATCCCTATCTAACTTGCACAAGACTCTGAATAGCTGCAGCAATATTGAGAAAGAAGCACAAAGTTGGAAGGATCACAATACTCAATATCAAATTGTACTACAAAGCCACTGTATAGTTTCTTTTGAGAAATCAGCTGATAGTCGTATGGGTGCTCCCTTATAAGCAACCAACTGCTTCTCTCTTGCTGCTTGTAAGATCCTATTTTTGTCTTTTTCCCTTGGCATTTTAATTATGATGTGTCTTGGTGTGGTCCTCTTTGGATTCCTCTTGTTTGGGGTTCTGTATGCTTCCTGTACTTGTAAGTCTATTTCGTTCACCAGGTGGGGGAACTATGCAGGCCAGAAGGGAGTGGCAAGAAATATTCCAAGTGATGAATACGAGAACCTACAACCAAGATTAATGTATCCAGCAAAGCTATCATTCAGAATTGAAGGGGAGATAAAGAACTTCACAGATAAGAAAAAGCTAAGGAGTTCATCACCACCAGATCAGTATTATATGAAATGCTGAAAGGTATTCTTTAAGAAGAGAAAGAAGAAGAAAAAAGATAAAAATCATGATCAACAAATACATATATATCAACAAGTGAATCTAAAAATCAAGTGAATTAAAAATCTGAGGAACAGAATAAACTGGTGAATATAATAGAACCAGGGGCAAAGAAAAGGAGTGGATTGATAATTATCAGGGGGAAAGGGGTGTGGGGGTGCAGGAAGAGACTAGATTAAAATCGTATAACCTATGGATGAGGACAATGGGGGGGACGGGGGAAGGTAAGGGCAGAGGGTAGGGCGGGAACCAGGTGGAAGGGAGCTATTGGGGGGGGGGGTGTAGAGGAGAAACAATTGTGATAATATCAGCAATAAAGATTTATTTTTTTTTAAATTCATTATAATCAAAACAGCCCGGTACTGGCACAAGAACAGGCATATAGATCAGTGGAATAGAACAAAGAACCCAGAAATCAAGCCAAGCCATTATGCTCAATTAATATTTGACAAAAGAGGCAAGAGGATACAGTGGAGTAAAGACGATCTCTTCAATAAATGGTGGAGAAATTGGACAGGTACATGCAAAAAAATAAAACTAGATCACCAACTTACAATATACTCAAGAATAAACTCAAAATGGATAAAAAATTTAAATGTAAGTCACAAAATAATAAAAATCCTAGAAGAAACCATGGGCAGCAAAATCTCACACATCTATCATAGCTATATGTTTGCCAATACATATCCAAGGGCAAGGGATACAAAGGAAAAAATAAACAAATGGGATTACATCAAACCAAATGCTTCTGTACAGCAAAAGAAACCAAAACGGGATCCCACTGAATGGGAGAACATATTCGGCAATGATACACCTGATAAAAGGTTAATTTCCAAAATATCTAAAAAACTCATACAACTTAACAAAAGGAAAACAAACAATCCAATTTAAAAAGGTTCAAAGAACTTTAATAAACACTTCTCCAAAGAAGACATACAGAGAACCAAGATGGTGGCACAGGTCAAAAGCAATACATGCCACCTCCCACAACCACATCAAAATTACAACTAAAATACAGAACAACCATCTTTCAGAACTGCCTGAAATCTTGCTAAAGGGAAGTGCCACAAATAGAGAAATAAAGAAAAAAGCACACCAAGACTAGTAGGAGGGGCAGAGGCACAGAATGAGCTTGTACTGCACCATGTGCAGCGATTTTTTCCAGTCAAGAGGGATATCTTGACTGCGAGGTCTCCCATGAGGAGCAAGGGGTCCCAGCCTCACACCAGGCCGCCAGCGAGTGTCCCATTGCTGGGAAGAGAAGCCCCCATAACTTTGGGCTATAAAAACCAGCAGGGATTGTGGTCAAGTGACAAAGAGGCTGCTAGAGACCCAAATAGTTCCTCTTAAAGGGCTGGTGTGTGAACTTACACAGTTCAGCTCTCTCTGAGCTCCAGCACTCAGACAACTGCTCAGGGGAATCCAGGGACATAAAGGGGGGAACTGGATCATCTAACATCAGAGCAAGAACTCTCAGATGACTTTCTCCCAGACAGGGGTGCTCAAAGGGGTCATTGTTTACTGTGCTGACACCTACCTCATCACAGAGCTGACTGGCAGCCTAATCTAAGTGGCTAACACTGTTTCTCCAACCTAGTGATTCACTGAGACCCTGCCCCATCCAATTTGCAGCCCCACCTAAAATGCTTGCAGTGGTCTTTTCAAATAATTGGCTAGTTCTGGCTTAGGCTTCACATTTCCCTAAAATCTCTCAAGAAAGCAGCATCTGGCATCAGCATGTCCCATACCTATCAATAAGTGGTGGCCATCTACAGGTTGATCTGTGGCTCCTGCTGGGTTACCCCATGGGCTGACTTTACACCTCCTGGGAGGCCCCAGAGCCAGTGCACCCAGTGGACAACTCAGACCATACCAGATTACAACTCTACACATCCATAAGTGACACACTCAAAAGGCAGACTCAGTGAGCACCAAAGCCCCACTGAAGCAAGTCCTGCTCTATAAGAGTGTTTTCTGCATGACAGCTCTTCCACTTTAGTCACAGCTGGTCCTCATAGTCAACTGGTCTAGAGGCCAATTTCTCTCAGTGACACTAACAGCAATTAAGGCTCAACTACAACATGACTGTGCACACAGCCTACACAGAGGTGCACCTAGAGTGAGTTCCCAGCTCAGGTGACTTGGGAGGCTGAGCCATTTGGGCCCTACAGGACACCTACTGTACAAGGCCACTATACCAATTCCAGGAGACATAGCAGCTCTACCTAATACATAGAAACCAACACAAGGAAGCAATCAAAATGCAGAGACAAAGAAACATGTCACAAATGAAAGAAAAGAATAAATCTCTAGAAAAAGAACTAAATGGAATGGAAGCAAGCAAACTACTAGATATAAAGTTCAAAGCAATGGTTATAAGGTTGCTCAATAATCTTAATGAGAGCTTCAAGGAACTTAGTGACAACTTCAAGGAACTTAGTGAGAACATCAATGACATAGAAAAGAACCAGTCAGAAATGAAGGATACACTAACTGAAATAAAGAATGATTTATAGGGATTCACTAGTAGAGTAGAAGAGTCTGAGAATCAAATAAAGGATTTGGAATATGAGGAAGCAAAGAACACCTAAGCAGAAGAGAAAAAAATATTATCCAAAAATCTGAAGATAGTATAAGGAGCCTTGGGAACAACTTCAAGCGTATCAACATTCGCAATATGGGGGTGCAGAAGGAGAAGAGACAGAGCAAGATATTGAAAACCTATTTGAAGAAATAATGACAGAAAACTTTCCCTACCTTGTGAAAGAAATAGATTAACAAGTTCAGGAAGCTTGCAGAGTCCTAAATAAGAGGAACCCAAAGAGGCCCACATCAAGACACATCATAATTAAAATGCCAAAGGTTAAAGACAAAGAAAGAATCTTAAAAAGCAGCAACAGAAAAGCAACTGAAGAAGAAGAACAAGAACAAGAACAAGAACAAGAACAAGAACAAGAAGAGATGAAAGTATGAATAAAATACATATCTATCAATAATTAAATGTAAAATAAAAATGAATAAGGAATCTAATGAACAAAATAAACTGATGAATAAAATAGAACCAGAGGCATGGAAACATGGAACAGATTGACAAATATCAGAGGGAAAAAGGGTCAGGGAGGAAAAGATTAACCAAGTCACCTGAGCTGGGAACTCATTCTAGGTGCACCTCTGTGTAGGCTGTGAGCTGGGAACTCACTCTAGGTGCACCTCTGTGTAGGCTGTAGGCATATATTCATAACCCATGGACACAGATAATAGGATGGTGAAGACCTGGGATGGGATGAGAACCAGGTGGTGGGGAGCAATGGAGAAAAAAAAAGGGCATATCTGTAATATTCTCAACAATAAATTTTTAAAAACAAAAAGGATGCTGAAACCGGTTTGGCTCAGTGGATAGAGCGTCAGTCTGCTGACTGAAAGGTCCCAGGTTTGATTTCAGTTAAGGGCATGTACATTGCCTGCGGGCACATTCCCAGTAGGGGGTGTGCAAGAGGCAGCTGGTTGATGTTTCTCTCTCATTGATGTTTCTAGCTCTCTATCCCTCTCCCTTCCTCTCTGTAAAAAATCAATAAAATATATTTAAAAAAAATAA